ACCTGCTTCTCCTCGACCACCTGCAAATATTTGTCGGCAAGCCGTGCCTTAGATTGGCCGAGCATGACGAAACAAATAACCACGCTGACTGACAAACGTACTGGTTTCTAAAACCAAACTGAATAATTAATTCAAAGCAACAGATTAAACCATAACACTGTTTATAAGAAGTTTAATAAAAATAATAATCTGTTAATCAACTTAATTTATGATCACGCTGATTGACAATTTCATACCAAACTAAACTGAATTGAAAATTCAAGCCTAGGAGCCAGGGCGTCTGACACTTGTGCGGCGTCTTCTTGCTGCCTCGGCTGCTCCCTTGGCTCCCTTTGCGCGCAGTCTGACCAAGACCAGGCCGACGCCGATGACCAGTCTGACGACCTCCACCAGGACGACGACGACCAGGACCAGTCCGACGATGAGGATTGCCACGACTGCCACTCCCGGTCCGCCCCGATCTCTGACGTCGTCTTGACCTTCCACCGTCTGTTCTGCTTCTTGTTCGGACCCGGGGCCTGGACCTTGTGGTCTGACGTCATCGGCTTGGCCTTTGGCGGGGTTGGCGTTGGTCCTGGTGAGTCTGACACCAGGTCCGCATGAATGCCCCTGGCCTTTGGATCTGACGCCGCTGCCTTCGATCCCGATGCCACGCTCTCTGACTTTGCCGCGGCCTTGAACGTCAGACGTGGCTCGATCACTGTCAGACGCTCTCTGGGGTTTTCCTCGAACGGTGACGACACCGGCGAGGTTGGCGTCATAGCCGGCTCAGTCGGAGTGTAATTCGTCTGACTGGGGCTCCTTGACCTCGACGGTGACCTTGTCGTCATCTTCGTCACCGGCGTCTGACCAATGCCGTCCTTCGGCTCAGCGCCCGTCGGCTCTTCTGTCGTCTTACGAGCGCCCTCCTCCTCAGGCACCGGGGGGAGTGGCTGATTCCTCGTAGTCTGACGCTTGGTGTTGAAGTGCGGCATCCCTTTGAGCTCGGGCTTGCGCTGGCGCACCATGGCCAAAAATCTGTCTGACCACAGCTAGAGGACTCACTCAAACCCACACGCAGTCAGACGAGTCATGAAATACCGATTGAAACTCCTGAATATCAATTGTCATAATCTGAAATCTAATCATCGCCGATGTCTTACACTGAGACTGACTAGCTGATGGTCCGAACTGCCTGCAGTCAAGACGGTCAAAGGAGCTTGCAAGCAAGTCAATCAAACAGCACAGGCCGAAAGGTGCGTGCAAACGCCAGCCTCCACCTCCACGGCGCCATCACATCGTCGAGGAGACCAGCGATGTTGTCTGACCTTCGCGAATTTAAATTGAAATTATGCGAGAATGAGTCTGACTACCACTTAGGGTTTTAGTGGTTCAAGGTCTAGGGGTTAGGGTTTGGGGTTGGGCTTAGGGTTAAGGCGGGGCCAATGGCTCACCAGCAAAGCTGGGCCAATGGCTCACCCGACAGTGCCCAGAACAGCTGGGGCCAATGGCACACCCGATGGGGCCAGTGGCTACACCCAGCAACCCGGGGCCAAGGGCTCACCCAGCACTGCTGGGGCCAATGGCTCACCCGGCGGACCGGGGCCAATGGCTCACCCAGAAAAGTTGGGGCCAATGGCTGACGCACGGGGCCAAGGGCTCACCCAGCAAAGCTGGGGCCAGTGGCACACCCGAGCAGTGGTTGGGGCCATCGGCTCACCCAGCAAAGCTGGGGCCGATGGCACACCCAACACCGGGGCCAATGGCTCACCCAGCAAAGCTGGGGCCAGTGGCACACCCGAGCACTGGTTGGGGCCATCGGCACACCCAGCAAAGCTGGGGCCGATGGCACACCCAACAGCGGGGCCAATGGCTCACCCAGCAAAGCTGGGGCCAATGGCACACCCAACCAGCGCCAATGGCTCGCCCAGCAAAGCTGGGGCCAACGGCACGGCAGCACGGGGCCATCGGCTCACCCAGCAGAACTGGGGCCAATGGCGCACCCGGCGCACCGGGCCAATGGCTCACCCAGCACTGCTGGGGCCAATGGCTCACGCGGCGGACCGGGGCCAATGGCTCACCCAGCACTGCTGGGGCCAATGGCCCACCCGGCGGGGCCAATGGCTCGCCCAGCACTGCTGGGGCCAATGGCACACCCAAGTCAATCAAAGATCCTGGGCCAATGGCTCACCCAGCTAAGGGGCCAATGGCACACCAGGAACCGAGGCCAATGGCACGCCCAGCAAGGCTGGGGCCAATGGCTCACTCGGCAGGCTCGGGCCATGGCTCACCCAGCAAGCTGGGGCCATGGCTCACCGAGCTGCAAAACGACGCAAACGAGGGGTTTAGGGTTTAGGGGTTTAGGGGTTTAGGGTTTTAGGGCTTAGGGTTAGGGTGTCTTACTGTCTCAGCTCCTGACGATGCCTGGATGGGAATGACGACAAAGATCACGGACCATGTCTGACCTGGCAGAATTAAATACCCTAACTTACCCAATACCTACCCCTTTAGCAAACTTGCGAGGGCGCACCTTCCGAAACCATCGGGCAGCTCGGGGGCTTTGAGGGGGGGCTTGTCTTACTTGGGCTTTAGTTTTTGTTCTTACATGACTTTCTTGGGGAGCTGCTTCTCATGCAAACATGTTGGAACTTGAGCCACCAGGGGGCATCTAGAAAAAAAGCTTTCAAGCTCTCCACTTGGGATCCAAGTGAAAGGTGCTCAGGCTGCAGGTGTGCGTCCACGAAGCGCGCCCCTACGCTAGACGGCGGCCAGTGCCCCCACTCACTCGCGGCAACCGCGCTCCCGCCATCCCTGCCACGAACGATTGTTCATGGCAGTCCGCACTTGAGGTGCGCGCCGAAAGTCCTCCGACAAGTCGCGAATCTCGCGCCCGTCATCCTGTCCAATCGCGGTACAAAGGCGCCGCAGCTTATCACCCCAGCTGCCATCCGTAATGGGGTCCGTGCGGGCGTTGATATCGCCCAGAAACCGCTCAGCCAGCTCCTCGACCTCGCGTTGGTTGCCGCGATCGAACGCGCACAGCAAAACGGCGACCTTTGTGGCGGCGCCCCCGCGCTTGTTGTCCAGCGGCTGCCCCAAGGGCAAATCGGTTTCACGGCCGATGAACGTTTCGCGATGACCGCGCCCTGTGCCCTTGTCTCTGCGACCAGACGCACCACCACCGCGAGAGTCCTGGGCTGGTGCTTTGTGTTCAAAGCTCGAAGCCTGAAGCCCAAACCCCCGAAGCCGAGAACCGAAACCTCGAACCCTCATGAGGCCCAAAAAACCAGACCTCAATCCCTCAACAAAAAATAAGCCAATCCCAGCATCATCCGTAAAGCTCCCCGAGGCACGGCCCCGCCGCCCAGGCGTGTAAGCTGGGCGCCTGCCATCTCGCATTTCTGGGCGCCTCTCCTCCCACCTCTCTGCACCCCTCTCCTCCCACCTTTCTGGGTGCCTGTCATCGTCCCGCCGCTCTGGGTGCTCCTCTCGCCTGCTCTCGTCCTGCCGTACTCGCCAGCGCCTGTGCGTCTCGCGCATCTCGCACAGCATCCTTTCGCTCTCCTCCACCCACGCTTCTCGCCGTGCCGTGACTTGTTCGCTCTCCAGCTGTTGACGGCGGTTGAACGCCTCGAGCTCTTCATGCTCTCTCCGTCTCCGCCGTTCTCGGCGCTCCTCAGACTCCTGCCTTCGCCGGCGACGGCGCTCCTCAGACTCCTGCCTGCGCCTGCGACGGCGCTCCTCGGACGACGAGTCTGTGTCCGCCCTGCTGCGGCGTTCCTTCCTCTTTTTCTTCTTTTTCTTCTTGTCCTTCTTCGCAAGCACCTCCTCTTCCTCCTTCGTTTCCACTTCCTCCACCTGCTCCGTCTCCGCCGCCTCCGCGGGCGCATCCTGCTCCACCTCCACACCCACAGCCTTCTCAAGCTCCTCCGCCTTTGCCAGCTCCTCCGCCTCCTATCAGGGTTCTGTTTGCGTTTAAGGAAACATGTTGGGCTGTATAAGGTTTTAGGGCAATGGGGTCTTATACGGTTTAGCAATGCAAACTGGCTGTGCCCCCCCCACCCGCCCCTGTGAGACAGCTTGGGTTTTGAGGTGGAATTGTGGAACGGCATGAGCCTTGAGTTTGCGTTTGGAATGGTTGGGTGGTGTGGTTTAAGTCTTCTTTAAATTGTGGTGCAGGTGATTCCCCCCCTTTCACTGTGTGGAACGGCTAAGGTCTTGAGCTTCGGAGTTCCTCTCTGTCTGTGGAAGAGGGCCCTCCGCACTGGCGCCTAAGGCCTGGTGGCATCCGGAGAGGCCGGCGCAGAACGCACTTCACACAACCATATGTACGGAAAAAGTCGCAAGAACACCCCCACCTGTTACACGCCTTGAGCTCATGGCCTCGACGCCGAAGCTGTCAGGTACAACAAGCAGATTTTAAGTGGAGTAGGCTGTTGGCTTGGCACGGCACCAGGATTTCACCGACGCCAGAAGGATTGGATTCATTGCCACTTGGGCATGGCCCACCCCATCAAGATTTGTAGAGAAGAGGCCCAGCAACTCGCAACGACATCATCCGTGGATGGTGGTTCCGGTATGGAGAAGCTCACGGCCGTGGAGCTAACCCTTGAAGGTTGAAGCCCTCTTCTGCTGCTGCGACTCATGCCCCTTCCCCAAATCCTTTTGGAGGGGGGGTGTCTGTCTTGAGTAGACAGTCACCATATTTGCTGGGAGGGCCTTCGCACAGATCCGGAACCAACATTAGAAGCCTCAACTTTTTAGTAAAGAAGAATTTACTGCAACCGCTGTAAGTAAACCCCATACCCAGAAGCCATGCTAAAGTTCAAGTCTTGCTGCAACGCCTGAGTGCTAACTAGCCCCTGAACTCCTAAACTCCAAATGCCAGGTCAAACTTCCAAGACGATGGTCAATCTACACAAAATACACAAGACGACATAGTAACAGCGTCGGATTGGTGTAGTGTTTAGTGAACTGGTCCGTCGAAAGGGATCCTGACAGACACCCTCCTAATCTCAGTCCTCAAGCTTCGCACGCTCAGCAGGTCCCGCCAAGCGCATCTCGACCAGTAGCCCTCAAAAAACTTTGGTTTCAAGTTGCGGATCTGGAGGTCAGCTTCTGGAGTGTAAGGGTAACACCCACCAGTTAAGGAAACTGATGAGGGGACTACTGTTTCACGTCTATGAGGGCTGTTGGCCGACAGGAGAAGGGGCTCAACCCAAAGCAGAGCGAGAGAGAGATCACAAGCAAACTGCAACCATCGTAGTGCGAAGTTGCAACATACAGTTATATATTTTGCCAGGTGGACGATCTGAAATCCCCAAAACCCGTTAGCCGAAAGCCCTGAAGCTGCAAAATCTTAAACCCTTAAGCCCTAAATTGTTCGAAATCGTGGTCCAAACTCGTCTGGACCTGGATCTCAAATCTTCCCCAACCCCGCTCAAGCCTACGTCCCCGCTTCAAGCTCTCGAAGCCTCCGTGACAAACTTGATCACAGGGTTTCCGGTTTCGGGGCCCATTATACTCTATGTACTTCGAATGCGAAACCCTAAGGAATAATATATTATCCCGGCGACTATGTTACGGCCAAGCGGCGCTGGTGCTCACACTCCCGCTCCCTCAGCTGCCTCTCCTCAAGAAATCAGGGTCAGGGGGCCTTGTAAGCAGGATCTCGGTGCCGGGCGTGGGATCTAGGTTTTGCGGTTCTCAGGGTTTCGGATTCTCGGTTTAGGGTTCGGGGCTCGGGGTTCAGGGTTTGTTCTGACGGTAGGCTGCAGAGATGCGTTGAATGCTTTGTGCCACATGAGGCGGAGCAGGTGGCCTGACAGTGGAGAGCCATCCCACACATTCACCCACCCCAGCTAGGTACCGAAGGCGATGCGCAAGATATCGTTGCAGAGGCCAGAAGAGCATTGCAGAACTTGCAGAATATGTGATGCACCAACCAGGGACTTCCGAAAAGGGTGCACAAATCTGTGGATGATTGCGCTGGGCTCAATTCCTGAAAAGGCTCCTGCTAGTGCAAAAAGTTGGGACTAAGTCCCCGAAGGAATTTGGAGTTGATTGGCAACCTGACTCCGCATGCAAATCGTTTCGGATCGAAGGTGCAGGTTCAGGGTTTACACTTTGTGAATTTATGATTGTCCGTAGTAGCTTTGAAGACAGAAGCACGCACACACACACACACACTCACACACACACTCTCACACTTTAAGCAAACTCGGAACCTCTCTGCCGCACACTAATTACAACTCAACACCCTTGGCCTGCCGGGCACAGAAACCCACGAAGACTCTCAAGGAGCGATTCCTGAACAGAACCCTTAAAGGACCCTTATGGGTTTCCTTCGTCTCTGCCAAGAGGGCATGCTCGTGGTGACTCCGCTCCTGCGCCAGCCTTTCCGAACTCTCTCTGGGAGCTTGCAAGCGATGCAGGGTACAAACAGCGCTGAAGGGTTCACGTAGGGCTATGGGCTCAGGGTGCACTTGGAGGCTGGTTTCGGCGAAGAGCATCCAAGTATTCTTGTAATGTTTGCTGATTCGGGCCTTCTAAGTAAGACTTGCTTGAGGCTTTTGGGGATCAAGGTTCGCATATGCTGAGGGTGAGCTCCGATTTGGTGCATCAACATGGGCTTGTTGTGACGCTGGCCCCGTTTTGAAGTAATTTGCATCCGTGCCAACATCAAACACCTCCGGGACTTCCCAGGGATCCTTACACAGTTCCTGAACACAAAGCCCGTCTTGAAAACCCTCATAGAATCCCTCAATGAGGATCTCAGGCAAATCTGCATGAAGAATCCCTCACGTGCCTGAGCTGCTCCACTTCTGCCCGGAGCCTTGTAACGTGGCAAGGCTGGCAAGGTTTAAGGGTTTAGAGTTTAGAGAGCTTCGAGCTTTGGATCTTTAGACTAGAGTTTCGTGGGGTTCTCTAGGCTCCACAGGTGAAATTTCAACCGGGGTCTCCATGAGCAGGCTTTCAAACCTTTCGAAATCTGGTATGGCTTGGGTGTTCGAGTCACAGGCTTTGGGTGGTCGAGCCTGGAAGGGGCTTCCGGCAGGAGAGCCAGGAGAGGAAATACCATGTTGCAGGCTTGTAAAGGAACCCCTTGCAGGTTGGATCAATGCCTTTGCCTTCAGTTGCGGCAAGCTTAGACCCCAGTCTGCGGCTAGTTTGTTTGACCCCGCTGTCGTGCGAAATCCATCCTGGCGTGGACCGCAGCGAAACAAGCCTTAAACGCCAAACCACAGACCCCAGACCCGACCCGAACCCGCAAGCAAAGCAAAAGCTATACCCGGAGCTCACCGGTTGGAGCTTAGGCAAGAGGCCGCGTTTTTTCCTCCATCTGCTCGGCAATCTTCGCTTCGAACTCCTCTGGCACAAAAGCTGCTTGTGGATGTGCAAGAAAGATACACAAGTGGACATAATAACAGCCATACATAGAGCTGCTGGTCAAATTATGGTCTAATGCATATCATGACCATCGGTCTTCTTCCCGCTGCTGCTCTTATCACTGTGATTGCTGATATCAGGTAGTGGTCGCGGCCGTGGCGGCGGCAGTGGTCATGGTACAGAAAGTGGCAGTGGCAATGGGAGTGCAAACAGCACGACCCAATATGGCAGTGGTCTTAGTAGTCACGTAGATGTAGTAGTCGAGGTAATGGTGGCAGTGGTGTTTGTCGCTACTCGTAGTTAGTAGTCGTCATGGTCGTCTGCATCGACATCCTCGACTGGGGCTGCAAAGCCTTCGAGCCCGGGGATTCGACTGAAAGCTCGAGTTTGCAGAGCGGTTGGCAGCTTTCCATGCACCCGCGAACAGACTTGACTTAAGCATTGCTTGAAGATTTTCCTCGAGCGGCAGGTGTCCAGGAATCCTCGTGCAATGTGCTGAACTTGAGCCTCAAAACCTGGAAGGCCGGGCTCACAGCCTAGAATCCCAAATTCATCGCCCACCGAATCTCCTGCCGCGCTTGGAGCAGCTCAGCCCGGAAGGCATCCTGCTTCGAATCATCTTCTTCGCTCATCTTCGTTTGAAGTTCTCGGTTCAGATTTGTCAAATGTGATGCTAAGGGCTAAGGGTTCAACTTGGGGCTTAAGATTGAAGGCGAAGAAAGCATCGGCCCTCGAAGCCTTCGATCGCAGATGCCGTCCAAGATCCGAAACCCCAAACCCACCACAGAGCTCTCGCGTCCTTCGACAAGCCAAGCTTCTCGGAGAACTTTTCGGCCATTAAGGTCGGGTCGGGCGTGGCGTACTTCACTTTCCTCGGGATCTTCCGTGACCCTGGCTACCGCAACTCTGAACAAAAGCGCATCTCTTGGACTCCGAACTGAGTCCCGAATCGCAGCGCCTCTCGCCGAGCTGCAGGGACTTCGTCCATCGACCCTGAACCTCACCTTATCTCGATTTCCGAGGCTCATGTTCGGCAGCGCAGCGATGGCCTGAGAGGCAGCGAAGCTGGGATAAGGCTTGAGTAGCTGACCAGCATCCACTGCATATGTCCGAACATCTCATCTCACTCGAGATACGCCACTGAGAATTCTGCACAACAGTGGGATGCTGGGATGCTCGTTTTGAAAGGATAAAGGCCTCCTTAGCCCCCGCACCCTAGCACCCTGAAGTTCAGAGCTTAGGGTTTAGCATTTAGGGTGTAGGCTTAGAGCTTCGGGCCCAGGGTTCCTAGGGTGCAGAGTCTAAGGTTGACTTGCTCATGGGAGGTGAGGCGTTCTAAACACACCGAAACCTTTGAACATGATTCGTTAAGGCCTGCAATAGAAGGACCTGAACAATTAGAATAGGGCAGGGGTAGATTATGGTGTAAACATAATAAGGAACCCCCGCAATATTATTGATAATTATTAATTTAAGCCCCTAATTACACTCGGCATCCTTCCCTCAACACAACCTCAGCGCTAGACCGCTGAGCCGTTGAGAAATGAAGCTCGGAGTTTGGAGTCTCTGTATAGGGTTGGTGAGGGTGGGTTTGTTTTTTTGGGCTTGGGGCTCCTTCGCACTATCTGACGTTGGGGTCGGGTTGAAGATCCCTAAAGCCTAAACCCTGAAACCTAGACCCTAAACCCTAGACCCTACACCGGGCTTTGGGGTTTAGGGTTTGGGGGCCAGGAGCATGAACACCGCTTAACAAACGTCGAATGTTAGTGCTTCCTTTGACATTTTGGCTCGTGCTACGGCACAGGCCCCACAGACGCCAACATGCAACCATGTTAATAGTTAAGCAGTTGTAGACTTCTGCGAAAGACTGCTTTCTCATTGGCTCAAACCCAGACCTACGAAGTCAGCCTTTCTTAACATGCAGGAAAACTGCCTGGCCTTGCGCAGCTGCCCATAGTTGTCTTTAGATGTCGTCACGAAGGTGCCATGGCCGCCTGAGGCCGAGAGGTACTGGATCAGTTCAGCCTTCAACCCCCACACCCCAGATCCTGAACCGTAAACCCCCTACAGCCCCAAACCCCAGAGCGCTCGAACGTCCCAGAATCCCAGAACCACAAAGCGGAAGCCTCTGATGCCCAAAAATCCCCTATTAACCCTGAGCACTAACCACTAAACCCTTGAGCTCAAAACAAGCCTTAAACCCCATGACCCTGCAACAACAAAGCCCTGCTGTGCTGGCCTGGGGCAGCATTGAAGAACCTGAAAAAGTCTTCAGGGAGGGTTTTGGTTCAGGGTTCAGAGTTCAGGGTTTAGGGTTCGGTGTAAGAGCTTAGGGCTTGGGGTTTTGCTGAAGCAGCAGCACGAGCTTCTTGCACTGTCTGCAGACAGCCCACAAGAATGGAATATCACCCCCCGCGGCTTCAAGTATATAAGTATATACACGAACACGAATGTCGCGCTGCAGCGCCAACCACTTACCTTTGGTTAGTAGGGAATGGAAGAATGGTAGTAATAAATAGTAGTCATAATTGTACCCCATTCCTCCATTCCCTACTAACCAAAGGTAAGACCACAGCAATGAACAACAAGTGCACTCATCTTCGGCTGGGTGGCTGGGCGGCGACACCCATGGGGTGCCCTGCTGCATCCCGCCGGTCCGTGCGGAACAGGTCCAGCTCCTGCTTGAGGTACGGATCTGCAGCTTTACTACTTGAACGAAGGAGCCGGAGAAAACCCGGTCCCAAGTAAGTCCTAGAGTCTACATGCACCCGATAAAATCCAATAAATCCTAAACCCTAGACTCCTAGATCTTGAATTGAATCCTGCCCTGAGCGCTAAGCCCTAAGCCCTCACCTCCGGGGTAGCACGGTCTGCTTTGGTGCCAACGAGGATGATGTTCCGCCACTTTTCCTCGCAACAGAGGCCCAGCTTTGGAGCATTCAGGGGCTGAAGGTTCTGGATGTAGGTAAAGGGTTTTGGGTCTAAGGGTTGAGTTCAGGTTTGGATTCAGGGCTTGAGTTTGGGCTTTGAAATCCGCTCCAGTGTCAACGGCCTTTGTTCGGGCTTCGGGATCAAAGCTTGAGGAGGTTTGGATTACGGATTTCTCCTGTGCGGTTTGCCCAGGATCTGAAGTTTACAAAGCTTGCGTGTCTTGAATAGCTGCCATGCAGGAACTCTTCAGTTCAAGTTGCATTGCTGGGTGTCTGACGCGTGGCAGATTCTAATGCACAGGGGATGACGGGGGTCACGACAAGGATGTAGATGACGTCGTGACGACCATGACCATGACTATTGTTGGTAAAGACATTATTATGACCGTTGGAAATACTATCGTTACTTCGTCTATGCGACCTAACACTTGGGCCACATGCCTCGCCAAGAAAGCCATGCTCGACGAGAAGCTGCACAACCTGTGCGCCAAGCCTCCGGGGTATGACTGCCGAGGTCTGCCGCTTGATGGTTTTCGGGGTTTGCAGTTCTCAGAACCTACATCCTGCAGATCATCAAGACACCCGGAAGTCTGACGTGGGGCCTTGGGAACTTGTCTTTGGCTGTTGAAATCAGGAATGGCCCTTCCAGGCTTAGGACTGAAACTCAGAATGGAGGACTTTATGGACCTATGGATATCCGGTCATCGCATCGGCGGCTTCCTAGCTGCTCTAGCTCTTTCACCGTGCCCGGCTTCACGCGTCCATCGGGGATAGGCGTGGTGACAATCACACCGTCGATGGAGTCTGAGCATCCCAGTTCATCGGTCATAAGCTCCTGAGTGCTGCATACTGCCAGAGAGACGGTACCCGATGCTTAGGTGGAGGTAAATCAAGACGAATTAGAGCGAGAATAAATGCACTGTTCTCCCAAGCGCGCTTGATGCAGCTGACCGTCAAAAGCAGATGTCAGGATCATGCAATCTGATCTGTCTAGCGTCGCCTTCAGGCCAAAGCAAAAAAAGACATCCGGTACCAAAAAAAACGTGCGCTCCTGTTCGATCATGGTGAGGACCTTCATGGGCGTCACGTCGGTGTCCCCCACGCCGGGTGTGTCCAGGTAGTCGACCGGAATCCCGCTGATGGGGGTCCCCACGTAGGCCGTAATCTCTTTGGTGATGCCTCTTGCATTTTGAGGTTTTTCGGTTTGGGGGCCCGCGCCTGCTTCCGGCTTCGAAGTAGCCAACAGCAAAATATGGTTGCAGGGAAACCCAAAACGCCACGGCTTTACTTAGGGTTCCCCTCGTGCTGCAGCAGCTGTCGGAACCTATATGGACGACTGTATGCGCAACATCATAAGCCACAGAAGACTGCAGAAGAAACCTAGCGACTATCGTGAGCATCGCTACAACAGGACGTGTCCAAAAGTGTGAACCCATTATGTGTTGGTTTTTCGCTATCCCGAGCGGGAGTAGGAGCGAGAGTACGAGTGGCCCGCACGCGATGATAAACACACGCGGGATGATCCTTTGGCTAGCTGTTGGAACTGTAGTGGATTGTTGGGTTCGAAACCCGAAACCCCAAATTCTAAACCCTGGACCGTCAAACTTAAACCCGGAAACCGAAACCCCAGACCCACGAAGCCAGACTCGAAGCGTCGAAGCCCCAAAAAAAAACTGAAACGCATGCCCCCAAACCTCAAACCCTGGCCCGGCACCCTCAAAACTCTAAACCCAAACTCTAAACCTCCAATTCTAGACTCTTCTAGACCTCTTGCAGAAAGGCTTTTTATATCCCTGATAGAAACCCTGATCGACCGACTGATCGACCCCGAACCTCGTGCTTGCAAGCCGGCTTCTGCTTCGCCGCTTCGCTTGGGATCCCTCATAGCGTTGATGAGGGTGCTCCTAAGCTGGTTTACGGGTCGGGGGTTGAGGCTCTAGGGTTGAGGATGATGAGACGGGCTTTCGAGCAGAAGAGTTTGTGTGTAATGTCCTCATTATCCAAAGGTGGCTGGATATCTTCTTCACCCATGAACATTGTCGTCAATCATCCGCGCGATATGACCACTAGGATCCCCGTTGACACGGGTCCATAGTCATCCATACTCGAATGATACGGCCAGACACACAGCCTCAGCACTGGTGACAAATTGTGTGCCAAAGTGCTTCCCATCTCCGCACTCGCCGACTACAAGTAGCACCTGCGGGATGCGACGGTGTGTTACAAAACGATACATGTTCCAAGAACTGAGAAGTCGTTGCGAAGTCGCTCTATACATCCCCGGAAAAACTTTACCTGTCTCGTTTCAGCAGGTTCCACTGCGAATGGAGCAGTTCGCAGATCACGATTCTCCTCTCACATCCTACACTGTAGGTCTCAAGGAGGGGCTCCTGGAGCATCTGAGAAGTCTCCGACCCCAGACTCAACCAGGGTTTAGGATTTACGGGTTTAGCGTTTAGGGTTTAGGATTTAAGGGTGTAGGGTGGAAGGTTTAGGGGTTTAGTTTAGCGGATGGTTTAGGGTCGGACTCAAGAAGGAAAACCTGAACAGCCTGGAAGTCTTCAGATCAAGGATTCTTGGGGGGGTTGGGGCTTACAATCTCCGAGCCCATAAACCCATTCCTACCTTTCCTCTCGATTGCCTACAAAAAAACCCGAAAACCGAACGCGAGCTTCGTTTGTCTTCGCGCCTTGTGCTGTGCCTCATTGACAGGTTCAGGTCTGAACCTTGGGAGGGAGTAACGGCGTAGGAGGGGAACTGTTTTTCCCAGTGAGCTTCTGGGATGCTTTTGCCAGTCGGTAAGAGGTGCAGCTGATGTGGCGGGCTCACTTTCCGATACTCTTCACAGCCTGGCAGCTGCAAACGAAGGTAGCCTCACATGACACGACTAAACTCCAAACCACTTGCATCCTCTCGCCGGAACCATTAATCAAAACCCAAACCTCTCCAGTTTGCAAATGAAGCCCCAAACCCTGCACCCCCACACTTCCAACCCACAGCCCAGATCGACGATGCAGGCATGTTGCCGGCGCGTCGCGCAGCGAATCCACTCGGGTAACCAATCGAAGGGGGCCGATCGCTTCGTCCCGGAACCTGTGGTATGACAAACTGTAGGTGCGAGGCTATCAAGATGGAGTACTAGCACAGTTACCAGTCCTCGTGCTCGCAGTATCGTACTGGTTTCGTAGTAGCAGTCTTCGTCATGGTAAGTAAGTAGTAGTAGCAGCAGCAGCGGCAGCAACAATAGTAGTCGTCGTCGCAGTCGTCGTACCATTGAGTGATACCAGTAGTATAGTACTAGCACTAGTAGTCGTACTGCTGCTACCAGTACTCGTCGTCGTCGTCGTCGAAGTAGTCGGAGAAGTCGTAGTCGTCGTCATCGCATTCGTCCCAATCGTCGTAGTCGTCGTAGGTCACAGTTGTCGTCGCCGTCGTCACCATGTACGCTAGTCTTACAGTCTTGGTGAAACCCTAATGCCCCAACCAAGAACCCTCCCTGCTTCGATCATCGTATTTGCCATACTTGCTACAAGCTACGACTCTGTTCCATCCTGGCCTTAGGATAAGTAGGGTTGGTCCGAGTTTGGCACTTTTCAAGTTTTATGGTGGACCAAGGCTTAAGAGTTTAGGGCAATATCAGGATCCGCAGAGGGAGCCGCAAAAGCCAAGTGAAAGCTCCTTACAGAGCCCAGATGCGTCGAGGTTCGGCGCTTCCTCGAGGCGAGCTGGGCTCCTCCAGGGTTTAGGGCCTAGGGCTTAGGGGTATGGGGTTTGGGGTTTAGGGGTTCAGGGTATACTGTGGGGTTTAGGGTCTATAGCTAAACCCTTAACTCGAAATCTGAATCGTTCCATGACTTTCTGCACTCCCAGCCGCCGTAAAACCCTGGCAGTCCCGATGACCCTGCCACTAAACAAAAACAGCCAAAAAATCACGCGCATGCGAACAAAGCTGTCGCCTCATGTCCTGCCATGGATCTCGCACCTCAGAGCCAGGGTAGGGTTTCGGGTTGTAACCTTTCATGATGTCAACCCACCGTTGAGCCGTAAAATCCGAACCCTATGCACTCTACCACCCCTAGACTTTCAAGAGCTTGTGTGTTGGCTCGTGCCGGCAGGAAACGTCGGCTTTGAGCACTACATCAGCTCGAAACTGGGCCCAAAGTTGCCATGAACAAAGTCACAACTATTAGCATCATATGGGTGGTTGTCAAAATTAGGGTCCCTTTTTTGCTCCATAGTATATTTCGGCACCGACTATTTAGCATACCCCGAAAGGGACCATAATTTTGACAACTACCCATATTGTAAACGGAACCAACCTGGCAGGCCAGCAAAGCGGAGAACCGCCTTGCCGGCAAGGGCTAAGGCCCAAGACTAGATTAGATGGAGAACGCACAAGAGCGAGAATATGGAAAGAAGACCACCAAGAGGTAGTCTAGGCGGTTCGTGTTGCAGCAAATCCAAGGGTTTAGGGTTCATGGTTTAGGGTTACTATTATGATTCGTATTAGTACTATTATTAATGTTATTATTATTATTACTATTATTATTGTTACTATTATTATTATTATTGTTATTATTAGTATTATTAGTATTATTAGTATCATTATTATTGTTATTATTATTATTGGGTTTACAACAACGCGCGACTATGAGCTTCGCAGACTCTGATACTGCATCCAGCGCTGTGTCAGCGAAGGGAACCAGAATATAGAGTTGGGTTTAGGGTTTTAGGGTTTAGGGTTTAGGGTTTAGGGTCTCTAGAATCCAAGCTCAAACGAATCACTCACCCAAGAAAACAAAGCCTGACGACCACTGAAAAACCCCTAAACACTCCAAAGCCAAAGCCCTCATACCAACACTAGAAAGAAACGATCAAACCCCTCGAGCCCCTAAAATCCTACACCCCAAACCTTGAAGGCCCTAACACCCATAAAAGCTCCAAGGAGCAGCAGCTGGGCGCTGGCCCGTCTCGTTGGTGCTCTGAGCCCACGGCTGCAGAACCCGCTGCGCCCAGGGGTTTTGAAGCTTAGGGCTGAAGGGCGAAGTTTAGGGCTGAAGGGCTTGAGGGCTTAAGGGTTGGGAGTTTAGGATTTAAGGTTTTGAGTCTCGCAATTTTGGTCAGATCATAAGCTTCCGAAACTAACGCAGGCCGGAGTCTAGTAGCAAGACCCCGAATTAGGTTTGTTCTGGCATTATGTAGCCAGGACCCCGAAACTCAAATCATAACCTTGCACTATCGTGCACTGCCGACGGGACTGAAGACCCTGGAAGCCAACCCCGGCTACAAGCCCATGCACTAAGCAGCAAGGCCTGTAGCAAGCTGAAATAACCAACAAATGCGCGCACACACACAAGCACAAATAGAATCAAATCCCACACCCTGTAGTACCCTTATAGTATCCTGATAGGAACCCTCATAGCACCCTTGTAAAATACCTAAGCAAAACCATTCTGTTTTCGGAGCCATCGATCTCAAGTGGGCTCCCGGCCGCCAGTAGCAGGAGCCTCGGGCGACGAGGCTGGGGAGTATTTCATAGAGCTCCATGACAGGGGTTAAGTTTAGTCATTAGAGTAGTCCTAAACTCCAAACTTATATCATATATATATATATATATATATCATCCGTAAACCCTAAAGAGGGCTTAAGTTGAGTCCTCAGAACTATCTTAAAAACCCCCTACACCCTAAACGCTGCTGTCAGTCTTTGCCGGGTCTGGGCTTCAGGGTGTTGTTTTCCAGGATCCCGCTTTAGGGTTTAGGGTTTAGGGGTTTAGGGTTTAGGGGTTTAGAGTTTAGGGGTTTAGGGTTTAGGGGTCCCGAACTCCGAAGAACACCCGGCCCAGATGCTTTTCGATCTTTGGGATGGGCTGTACGGGGTAGGGGTTGAAAGGTTTCGGCGGGTGGCCTGATACGTCGCAGATCGCAAAACTATTGCAAATGCAACTCTTGCTCTTACCACTAGTACAAGTAGCTTCAACTTGCGATTAACGCAGCTGACCTTTAAGTTGCCCGCATCGGGGCTGTAACTCATAAAGGCAAGATAGCCATAACTCCGGGCTTGGGGGTAGAGCGTGATTGTGGTCCCGCACCTCAAGAATCGAAGCGCGAGTTACGATTCAGTTCCGATCGATCTCGCCGTTTTATACATTAGGGCGGTTTAGGGTTTATAGGGTTGGTCGCGGCACATATACAACCTCACAAGCGGCGCGCGACCGTACGCCATACCCACCCGAATGGTGAAGGCTGCCGAGGCACTGTGCTAGGAGCCACGTAGCATGACCAAGCAAGGCCATCGCGCCTCGCACAAAGCACCAGGCCGAAAAAATGTCAACAAAAACTACACTGTAATAAACTGCAGCCGGTGCGTTGATAAAACCTGGTAGCAAGAAGGAATGCACCGGGGTTATCCAAACTTCCTCTATTTGGCGGATCTTGTTTAGAGCGGGCGGAGGTTTGGGTTCTCCGGTCATTGAGGCTTTGTCCTGGAGTGATTCTCGTAAGTCTGCAGACACTCCTATAAGAAACGCAAGCATGTCGCACGGCTCGGCGAGCACGATGAGCTTTATGTCTATGCGCATATATATGCACAGACACGACCGGATCGGGACACATATTCAGGGAGAGCTTTGGTATCATACTTATCCACTCCATCAGTATGTCAACCCAGGCCCTTGGCGAAGATCATCTGTTTGTCTGGCTGCTGGGGCATGTAAGGTACATATTCTTTGGACCATCGCAGCGGACACAAAGCTTCCGAAAGTGGACAGGGGCGTCGAGCTCAGATCTGTGCAAGAGTCTATACTCTATAGATAAACAGCGCAATCGAAGGAACTAGGATTTAGGGTTTAATCTGCAAACCCGAGCCCTTGACCCCAAAGCCATTTCCCCAGCGGCCAGACGGCCTAGTCCCAGAGCATCTACGTGGATGGCGATCTGCAAGTACACGAGTAGGATCTGTGGCAGGATTGAAAGCCACGGCTGAAGCTTAAAGACCCCATCACTTAGGGCCTTTAGGGTTTGGGGTTTACGCCCCAAGCCTCCGGTTACATGCTTATGAAGACAAATATAGGGGCCTTAATAATTAGAATAGGCTTTGGGGGCCCATTGCACTATAATTCTAGGATTATGATAAGGAACTCCTGAAACAGTATTGGTAATTATTCAGGCCCGCATATTAACAGGCCAAATGGCCGCTGTGTGAAAGCTCTGGAGGTCCTCATGGGAGTCAGGCTTAACGGCTTGAGAGCTCGAGGACTTCTAGGCGGACGGTGGGTTTCAGGGCTTAGAGTTTAGGGGATCTCGCAGCTGTATGGCTTTTACAACGGCTGAAGTGAGTTCAGGGGCCCTTCAGAGAGCGCACGGCGGGTGTTGAGCTTTGATTCCAGCAGCCCGGTGAACGTCTCAAAACGATGGCCCCTATGACGGTTCTACGTAACACTTGGCCAACAGAGTGTCTGCAGGGGAAACCGATTTCACTCAGGCTCAAATAGCCCTGTAAACCCCCGCATGTCCAGATGAAACTATAAAACACGCCAAGATTGACAAACCCTGTTTTACGACTCGCCCGCCTCTGGCCCATTTCAGCGATTTTTGGAATTAGGCTCCATGTCCGGCCCTATGACACTCCCCAAGACTGAAGATTCTCACAGAGGCTCTTAAGCCTCAGATTTCGATTGCCATGATGGCCCTTCGAGTTCTGGCCCAGCCGTCATGAGGTACGCAATTAAGGACTCTGCACCCGACTGCTTTCGCTCGAGTCATGCTTCTTGGAAGACTAAGCCACAAAGATCATAAGCTTCTGGGACACTGCTGCTTTCAGCTTGGGAGCTCAGAGATCCATTCTGTCCGCTTCAGGTGCTGCGTTATGATGCAGATGTAGGGAAGACACGACACTCCCGACAATTCCTTCCAAGCCTGAACTGGGCCTGAACCTTCAGAGGCCCAAGCCTCGCACCTTCAATCATTGGCCAGCCTTCGCTTCAGGTTGAGGCCAAGCCCTAACCATTCAACCCACAGTCTCCGAACCGAAAACACCGTAAACCCGAAACCTGACATTTAGTCTCGAATCCCCGGCTTTGTCAAGCCGATCGCAATCTCTGCCTCCACGGAGGAGCCGCCGCGACTCGTGCAGATTTCCAGCAGGGCCATCATGAACATCCCCACGAAGACCATGGCTCCACCTCGCGATGGGTTTAGGGGTTGGGGAGTTTAGGGGTTGGGGTTTAGGTTTTGAAACTTGTGGCGTTCAGGGTTTAGGGCTTAGGGTGTAGGGCTTTAGGGTTCAGGGGTTGAGTTTAGTCGTTAGGGGTTTAAGGCTTTGTGGGGAGCTTCCAGGAGCAGCAGAAGCGCCTTATGAGCGCAGCTGAAGGTAATTGAAACAGCTTTGAATTACCCACACAGGAAAGCAGACTTCAGGATTAAATGTTTAGGAGCTTTTGTTTGGTCGTGAAAACGCAAATGATGTTTGTGTGTGTGTACATATTCATAATCATATACATATATATATATATATATATGTATATAGTGTTTATATATATATATATATGCACATACATGTACACATATCATGTCGATGCAGAGCAAGTCCGGTGTCGGTTTACTGCAGAGCCATATCGAGGCTTTGCAAGTTTCGTAGGCAGTATCGGGCTAAGTGCTTGTTGCTGGGGTTTCGTTGAGGGATGCTGTTGTCTGAGGCTTTGCTGTCCAGCCATGAAGCTGGATGCCCATCTCCTCACCCTTGCTGTTCGGAAGTAGGTAATCCAAGCTTAATCTCCAAACCAACCACACCGCCCGGAAAGCAGGATGATGGCTATGGCCGCCACAGATCAAGGCTCCGATGTCCGTGCGGAGCGTGATGCCCTCGCCAGAACCCATCCTTGGAACTCCGGGCTTGGGGGCTCAATTGACTCAAGTGAGACATTCTCACAGGGGCTGCGGGAGCCGTGAGGGCATTGCTTTCGTCGTGATACCAGCTGACACTCTGCACAGGAGTTGACCTGGAAGGTTCACGGCTCTGCGACTCCATCTTGCCTGTTGCCGTTGATGTTATTGTTGCTGCATCAGAGCTTCATGAGGCGCCGGGGCCGTTTGAACGGTGCGACGCTATGGGAACTCCTTTTGAACGAAATCACATATGTTGGCCTTATCGGAGGCTGGGTGTTCATGTTGAAGTGCTTTCTGAAAGCAGAGGTTGCAAGCTTTCCCCAAACCGAAACTCCAAAACCCATAATCCTAATCCATAACACCAGAGCAAACACTTCACTCGAAAGCAACTGAGCATGCGGCGTGGCAAGGACCACCACCGATGTGGCTATGATGCCCACCTGCTCTAGTTGCGGATGTTGGGTTGGAAGTCCCTGCACCCCAAGCCGCAAAGTCTAAGGGATCTAGTGACTTCGGCCATGCCACGAAGTGTCGAGACTCCGAAACGAAGCACTCAACCCTCCAAACCCGAAAGTCTTGAGTTGCCAGTTGCTCAGATCATCTTCTTAGGATGCAGCACACAAGCCTCCAAGAAATCCATGCGTTGGAACCGGCACGTGAAATTTAGGCGGGCTTTCGGGTGGAAAGCCCGCCGGGCATGTCGAAGGTTGAGGGCTTGAACGATGCTTCCTGCAGCGGGAAAAACCCACACCGAGATGCTTGTGCGCAGGTGAGGTTCCGAACCATCTAAATCCCCTAAACCCCCAAAACACGGACGAGTGAGGAATCCGGGCCTCGAGCAGCAGCACTATCGCAAGCTCAATGGTGCAACACCTGCATCAACGGACGGCGGAAACATTGAGCCTTGAGTTCGGGCGAAGTATTTTATCCAATCCTGCTGAATAGCGTATGGTATTGAATATATTATGTTGCGTTCGTTGTACTATTGTAGTACGCATACTGTATTGTGTTGTAGTGTATTATGCTGCATCGTGCTATAGTCTACATATTGTATATACCGGTATAGTATAACTCCTGTTATTGTGGTGTGTTCCGCTGTAGTTTGCTTGGAAACAGTGTCCTGTGATATATCTTATACAAGACATAGTAGAAACCATGATGAATCCGTGATCACTGGTCGTGAAGGATTGTAGAGTTGAGCTCCTGAGGCCTAAAACCAGTCAGCTTGAAAATCTGAGCATCATACGAAGATTCAGCGGCAATCACCTATGCAATGAACATCGGCTTTAGAATCCTTCCTTTCAGCATTTGTTGCAACGTTAAGCAGCTTTCATGTCATGGCCTAGCATTCCCAAGCTGAACGCTGGTACCGTATCTCAGTAGCCTTTTCTACTTGACCGTCCATTCCAGGCTTTTGTCCTGCAGTAGATTCTGATGCAGAAAAGATACCTCTTGGGAACAATCACGTAGTACCCTGGAAACCCATGAAGCCCCATTGACATAACCCTAGTCCCGATATACCCTGTTCCACGCCTCGTCGACTGCAGCGTCGCTTGCGTTCGCATGGTCTTCGATGGGGCCGGCGACCTAGGGTCGAAGCCTTTGTCCCAACCATGGCTCGCTTGGGTCTTCTGGCTCGTCGCCTGGCAGGTTTGGGGCGCTTTGGGATTGTGGGGTCTGTAGAGGGGTTTTTGGGGTTTAAGATTTCGGGAAGTTGGGTTCATAGGGGGGCTTGCGGCGTAGGCGTCACGATTAGGATTTTTGAGGTTGAGGGCTTCAAGGGTTCAGTCGGCGCTGCCTATAGGTTTGATGTGGGTGTGCAGCCGGGGTTTTTTGGGGTTTGGTAGGTTGGTACCTAGCTTTGTCTTGTCGTCGTAATTCCTTTCGTATATATATATATATATATATATATATATATATATAGGTGTTATCGGGTTAATGTGGGTGTTATGCAGTTTTAAGGGCTTTTTTACCGGCTTTAGGTTCAGGGCTTTTGGTTGTCTTCTTGCTTTGGAAGACTTGGTTCGCGGCGTTTTGGGGGGTTCGGAGTCGGAGCCTTCCTGCACAGACCCAATAGTACCGAGAAACCCAGCAAGGGGATCCCGAAGAGAAGATAGCAGCCGGTATAACCCCTGTTTGCCCATGACGCACTGTAGACTCTGTAGACACTGCCAAGGCACTGAACTCAGAGTACGTGCAGCGGAGCCCGAGGATTGCGGATCTCGCACCTAAAAGGCGAGACGATCAGATTCGGACTGCAAGTGTCAATTTCATGCCCCCCCGAACACTGAGAATGCGACCTCAATAAACAACACTCCTCAATACAGCCTTGACCTAAGAGACACCTAGCCTGCACAACAATCATAAAACGTGCTTGCCCAAAGCGCTTCACCACAAAAAGCTGAAACATGTAAACCCCGAAAACATATGAACTCTAGACTCTAAACCTGAACCGGAAACCTACGTAGCATCCTATACCAAACACGTCTGAAAATTTCGGGACTCGGGACTTGCTGCCCATCGCTCCAGAGCTTCATATGCCAAGTGGCTGCTGGCGAAGGTCCCTCGGGCGTCGGATCCTTGGAGCTGTTCTCTCTCCCCCCGCCCCCTCCGCCCCTGTGTGCGTGTGTGTGCGTGCTTGCGCATATGTATATACATATGTATGTATGTATATATATATATATATATATGTATATATATATATATATGTATAAGGTACCCCCCCGAGTTGTCCACCCTTTTGGGCTCTGAGTCCTGTGTGTCTGAGTCTTGTGTGTCTGGGACATATACATATACATATACATATACCTATATATATATATATGTATATAATTGTAACGCAGACATGCATACTGAGAGAGAGAGAGAGCCGTAGATCGGCGTGCATGCATGCATGTATGTACGTAGGTATGTAAGTATGTATGTACGTATGTATGGTATGTACGTATGTACGGATATGAGTATATAAGTATGTACTTGCTCATCGGTATGGGGATAAGGGTATTCTTTGGGGTGGTTGCAAGGCTCAGGGGTGTGGGGACGTAGGGCTTTTGAGGCTTGTCGGGCTCATGAGTTTGAGGCTTACTGGGATAGTTCAGAGGTCTCTTCTTTTCCATCTTCCGGGGCTTACAGCCAATACTGCGATCTTGTCGAATGCCCCATCTTCGGTTTAGGGTTTAGGGTTTAGGGTAAGATTTGAGATCAGGCTACTCGGAAATTACCTGCACCAAGGTGCCGGGGCAACCGCACGCGGATTGGGAGGCATGGCTTTTGATTCCGAGGATTCCCTCCTAAAGAGATTCCCAACAGTTCCTGGCTAAGGAGTATGTAAAAAACACACTAAACTCCGCTAGCCCTAAAAACCATATCAAGGACGTCTTAGTGGGATTCGAGGTTCTCTCAACTTATGCGGAATGACTGAAGCCGTAGTCGGATCTGGTGCCTGCGGCAACTATGACGAGATTTCTTATGAAAAGATTTCTGTGCCCCGCAAAATATCGAAGGTATTGCATCTACCGAGGTGATTAGCCCACTCCTCCTAAGGAGGAAGAGCTCTGAGGTGCACCACGGCTTCGGAATCGACGGAGATACGGCTCGTTCCCTTCACACACGCACGCAAACACACACACACACACACACACACACACACACACATCTCCAAGCTAGGGCATCTTGAAGACTATGCAGCATACCTGTTGCATGGACTGCTGATATCGGATTCCGGACGAGGAAAAGCATCCTTCCCGGAGCGCTATAGTAACTATAGCACTCACGAAAAGATCTTCCCAAGCCCTTTGTGACGAATTACAAAAACTCCGCTGAAGAGAAACTCTAGACCCTCAGCATGCTCCAGGGCTTACGGCTGCTATCAGAACCTTAAGGCCTAAGCTTAAACCAGAAACCCCAGCCCAGCTTTTCTGCTTGCCTCCCCAACACGTCAGAGTCATTAACACCACGGAGGCCGAAGCTGACGGAGGCTGACCAAAGGAAGCAACTAGGCCTGTTTGGGGTTTTGGGCCGTTTAGAGGCTTTGGGCTTAGAGAGTCCTTATGATAAGAATCCGACTCTTTAATCCCCACATCCTGAACCCCGAACAACGGACGCTACACCCTAAGCAAGCTGTGAGGAGACTGCCTACAAAGTGCCACGAGTGGTTGCCGGCACTCAAGATATAGAACGGGCTTTAGGTGAAGGGACCAAGGTACACGAATTCAGGGTTGAAGGCTACCGTGCGTGGGTTTGGAGCTTTCATTCGGGGGTTCTCTTGGGATCTTTGTTCAGCCGCCTAGCCGAAGAGCCACCGCTGTCTGAGCAAGGTCCGCTCGGACGTTAGCTCCGGGCGTCGGTCCAGGGTTAAGAACCAGGGCTTTAGAGCTTCAAGTACGGGTCGGGATAATGAGAAATAACTACAGTACCGGATAGGTTCGAGGCTCGGTGAGTCTGCGCGCACTCTCTCCAGCTTTGAGATTAGATTTGTGAAAGCACGCACACACAGACACACAGACACACATTCGCGTCGACGTTACATCGACAAAATTTGGCCCTTTCAACATGATTGCTGCCGTTTCAGTCCTTCTCTAAAGATTGGGTGCCGCACGCGTCAAGCCTCTCCACCCACCTAAGACTACCGAATTTAGGCTTCATGGACAACCCCAAACGCTAATCTTCGAAAAACCTTGGGGTTGGGATTCCATTTGGCTTTAGTCAAATTCTATCGTCTTCGACCCTAAACCCTAAACCTTACAAAATCCTCGCAAACCACATAGATGGCAAGGCATCAGTAGGCAACATCTTCACAGGTCGCTCGGCACATACGTAGCCCTAAGAGATAGAAAGAAGCAACACCCTAAACCCCAAACCCCAAACGCTTAACCCTAAACCGTACGTCTTTAGCCATCATGTAGCCTCCATATTTCGGCACCTTGCATCCGTTCCTATGACGATCTAAGCCCATTGACACAGGAGGTAAAGCTTAGGGCACCTCTAGCCTCGAGTCTAAGCCTTGCATGCACCGGACATAGTCAAGAGACTACTCTCAAGACTCCAAATCTGCGCCCGCGTCCGACACTCACATTCGTAAGGGTTTCGCTTAACCTTGAACGACCAGGAGCTCGCAAGGGCCCAGGGCCACTCCACAGAATAGCTAGAAATGCGGCCGCAGCCGCGCAAGGAGCTCTTCTCGCCGCGCCGGGGGCGAGAAGGAAGTCGCCTTAGCTTCAGGGTTGCCGAATGTTTCACAAGGGGTTCTATGGGTTTTGTTCGGGTCTTTGATACCTGTTTCCAGGAGTTGAGAAAACTGTTGGGGGCAATGGGTTTAAGGCTCAAGGTGTACCGCTTGCAGGGCAGAGGGTAGGGCCTAGGGATTTAAGGACCGCAGTACAGATATTTTGGGATTATGGCTTGCGGATGCTTGCGGATTTGAAAGCAAATGCAAGGTCCAGCCCTCTGAACCTCAAACCGCAAGGGTGTAAAACGAAGCCCCTGGCATCTGGATGACAGAGCCTATGGACATACTTTGGGGGAGTTCTGACACTGGTAAGAGTTGCCGCTGCTGACTTCTCCAGCTGATGTTTGGGGTTTGGGGCTTGGGGCTTCGGGTGTTGGGCTTGAAAGTTTACGGCAGAGCATCGAGACTAGAGTACAATTTGAGAGTCACAGTAAAAGACACATGAGGCAGGCTGACTGCAAGCGGACGGACAGAACATCAAAGAGTGAAGCCGAAGCAATGCAAAGGCCCCCCGGCAGGAAATCCTGCAGATACCTAGAGGCTCCATAGCAGTTCCTTTTCGTGGCTCATACTCAGAATCTTATAAGGTATTCCCAAAAAGGAACTACTATGGAGCCTATGGGTACAGCTCCTGGGAGCCCCCGTCTGAGCTCTCCGCGGGCAGTCTTTGGCTACGCAAGCCTTCGAGCACCTGAGGAGACATGCCACGAGGAGCACTAAGTCTAAACCTTCAGGGTTTATGGTTTAGGGTTTAGGGTTTATGGTTTAGGGTTTAGGGTTTAGGGGCGCTTTGAGTTTTGGGTTCCTGAATTGTTGCTTCTGGGGTATGGCTTGGACTTGCGGGCTTCTCGACGTTGCCAATCCTACTGCAGCTGCCAGTCTAGAACCGGGCAACCACAGGTGACGATTAGGCACCGATGCAATCAATCTTGCTCAACAGGGGTTCTTCCATTCAAGACCTGCGTGGGTTTGTTCAACCACCAGTTGAACTTGTTCTTCTGATAGTGGAATCACAATGAAATTAAGACAGTGTAGTATAATCAGCACCCTCATCATCACTGACCCGAAAACCTCAAGACATCTAAAACGGAAGCCCTTTTAAAACGACGTCCTTTCCCTGCCTCGTCGTTGATCCGGCCGTCTCCCAGAGGCGTGGCCTCGACGAAGAGTGACTCTGGAACTTTTCCAGTGATTTTTGTGCTCTTTTCGAAGTAGAGCATTTGCTAGTAGGCATTGAACTCGCAGAAGTTCACAATTCACTTTGGAATGGCATGAGCAACACCACGGTGTAGTGGAAGCAGCAATAAGAGCAAGAAAAGGCGAAGCGAAAAAAACTGAAGAGCAAGCTTGCTGTTGTCATCTTATCTGATGTTCTTTGCGTTGCTGCTGCTGTTGGGGCTGCCGCTGTTGCCAGCTGCTAATGTCATCGTCGTTGTCGTTGTTGGTGGTGATGATTCCGTGGCTTGCCATTCCTCGTGCAGTTTACAACTGCGGCGATCAGCGTCGCATCTTCATTCACAGTACCCCAGCTAGTATGTCGGGCACCTGTGCCAAAAAGCGAGAGCCAATACCAAGTCTCACATACATCCAGAGCTATCTTACAGCCTAGCCTACGGCCTTAGTCGTTATCTTTTTGTGGGCGAAGTACTTGTTCAGAGAAGTTCACTAGACCCCTTGAAGAACCCTGAAGACCCTGAGAAATCTGGCACGGTGAATGGCTTCTCGGATTCAGCGCCTCAAACCTGAAGCCCTAAACATATGCTCAAGGGTTCACGAGGATCCTCCGAGGTACCCTCAATAAAGCTCTTGCGAACCTGAAACACGGCGATCACAGCATGCTTTGGTGGTCTGGGGAAGGCAGAAAACCTCTACCTTGGGTAACTTTGGAGCCTGAAGCTTTCGCCGCTTGGCAGGCAGGCCGCCTGCCGTACGAATGCTTGGTGAGGGCTCAGGTCTGAGTCTTTGAGATCAATAACCTTCGGATTCGTGGAATACTGGGTTCTCGCATCTAATCCTGATATATGTATATATACATACATACATACATACATCCGAATCCTTCTTTGGGTTTCGAGACCCCTCCGGGCCGTGTACCCCCGACGCCCAAAAGGAATTCCTTTGGTTCAGAGTTTGGGGTTCCTCAGATCCTGAACCTCAAACCCCACAGAAAAATCCTGTGCAAGACGACCGCAACGCTAATTTATGTCCCATATGCATGTAGGAAACTCATGCCTGGAGCATTTGACACTTAACCTCAAGACCCTCAAACCCTGTATCTTTTCACCCAAACACTCTAAACCCTGCAAGTGGCACCAATTTTGGATCCCTTTGAGGATCTTTTCTATGGAACCCGAAGAATTTACACGCCTTACACTCCTTAAACCAATGATCCGGACACCTTCGGCGGCCGTCACGCTCTCCACCTGCCCATAACGGTGAAAGCCATGTGGGTAGTTATCCAAATTAGGGTCCCTTTTGAGGTCCTCTTCATGACGGTGCCGCACCATATTTGGGACCCTACTCACGTACCATAACCTATGTGGCATTTGCTGTGTAGAATTAAGGGCTTCTCTGCGTCAAGCTGGCTGGGTCTAGAAGTTTCAGCAGGTATGACATCTGGGTTCAAAGGGAAATGTGCCGTGCCGCCAAAGCTAGGCCAAACATCTCGGAACTGAAAATCTGCAAAAGTTGCCAGTGGCCAGCCGCTATGCAACACAACTCACCATGGAACACAGCTGCCAAGTCTTACTGCGAAGGGTTTTTTCAAACTTTAAAGATCGGCCGTTGCGCAGCAAAGGGACCCCAGAAGGGGAGAGCCACTCTTGTATCTTATGACACTCCATGGACCCGTTCAATGTGCGCAAGCTCGGGCTCCATAGCAAGCTCTCTTCATAGGTCAGCCTGTATTATATGAACCAATTTCAACCCTAGACCCTTAAATCCTGGACCCAAACCCTAAACCCTACGCGAACGCAGCACTCAAAGTCTCAGCTTCACGGCCACCTGCATCCCAAGGCCCAGGGACATCCATGCGAGATCACCAGCGCCTCCGTGCAAGAAGGCTTAAAGTCTTTCGGGGTTTAGGGTTTACGGGTTTAGGTTTCAGGGTTTAGGCTCGGGGCCCTGGAGGTTTCATGGTTGGCCCAAAACACCTGAAACCAAACGACCCAAATTGGCAAACCTGCTGCGAATTCACCGCTCAGGGCTTTACGCTGCAGCACGTGACTCTTTGGGGGTGGGTAGTTGATTTTAACCGCGTGTTTTACTGACACCAGCGAAAGCGAGCCGACGACAACACACAGTATCGCTTTCTGATGCGCGGTACGGAGGCCAGAACATCAGTGGCTCAAGGTGGTGCGGTTCAGCTTACGAAGCAACAAAAACCAAACCCCGATGAGAAGCAGCGGTACAAACAATAGCTGAACTTCAGTCAGGGGCGGAGGTAGCAACCAATAAGCACCAACTTGTGCTTCATGGTGGCATCAATCCTCACCTTCATAGACCACTAAGTTTGGTCGACTGCAATGCCTAGTCCTCTCCAACTGAAACATGTGCCCTTAAATCTCAGCCCAAGGACAAAATCACGGTCTTAAATCATCCAGCGGTATGGCCTAAACTCGAAAATCTATGACCCAAAGCCTTAACCGCGATCTCGATGGTTGAAGGGAATGGCAAAACGAGGTGCAGCCGCAACATTGGGTTGGAAATGTTCGCAGGGGGCGTTTCCGAAGCACAACGGTCACAACGACATCCTCAGGGCATGCCCGCCTCTTCACAAGTCCTCGTGGCAATTGAGATTAAGCGACAAGGTATGTCATGGGACGACCTTATTGTCGAGTACTACTGCTACGACTACGACTACGACTACGACTACGACGACTACTACTACTGCTGCTACTACTACTACCACCAGCTGCCGGGCCACCAAAGTTGCAAGGTACAAGCTGTTCCTGTGTCTTGTCCAGTGGGCCTCCGAGGGCGCGCACAGCATGGTCGCAAGCTGCAGAGAGGATGGCGATATCTCCTGGGCTTGAGGTCTAGGGATATATGATACGGGGTTGTTGAAGGGCTATCGGGCTCTAGTGTTAGGGTAGGATGCCTTTTGAGACTCTCAAGGGCTCTCTCCGAAGCTCTCCGACACCCGGAAAGCAAACCCGCCAAGGGAGGTGGGGGGCCAGAGTGGCGTGCCAAAAGTTTGGTGTGGGAACTTCTCCAAACAGAAACGGAACGCAAGCTTGAAGAGTGCTGTGGGTTTCATACTCCCGAGAAGCTCAACGCCAAAGGCGAGGAGAAACGGGAAGGAGCACAACAGCACACTACCCCCATCCCCCACCCCCGAACCTCAATGCCTGGCCTAATCTTCAAACCTCCTACGCCCCAAGTTTCACACCTACCACGGCCGTCAGGACCTACATGACCTACATGACTGAAACCCGAAGCCTTTTACCTCGACCCTCCTCAGCAGCACAAACCAAACCTGAACTTCAAGACCCAACCCACTCCCTCCTGCAGCAATAGAGCCATAATTACCGAACCCAGAGCCCTGGGTTCAGGAGTTGGGGTCTGGGATCCAGGGTTTTGGGATTAAGGGTCTGTAACTTACAGTCAACGGTCTCTGAACCCGAAACCTCCGAAAAAAGAAAATCTCGAAGCGCGAAACCCTGAACCCTAAACCCCTAGCCCTAAATCCTGAACCCCCAAACCCTAAACCTATCAATCCCAATCCCAAAGCCCCTAGACCCAGAAACCAGCCTCCTTCTAAAGCTGCTCGACGGAGCGCCTCTGGCAAACGACCCTTTTTATGCGATGTCTTGGTTTCGGCTTTGGGGCTTTAGAGCACGGGGGGCGTTAGGGTCGAGATCTACCAGGGCGTAGACAGCCCTTGGAGTTTCCTCAAGCTGCGATAGGGTGAAAGGAGCTCAGTATGGCGAGTTTCGGCTTGAGAGAAGCCTTGATGAGTCGATGAAGCTCACCCGACCCAGGATGTCATCAAGCTTTCTGTCTGAATTTGCTTGTTCTTGGATTTGGAGACTTGTCAATCCTAGCCGTCTTGGTTGATTGCGGAAGCTTCTCCCGGAACAGGTCCCGGTTGGCTCTTGACAAGAACTTCTGCGTTGGGTTGGCCAGACAATTCATGTCGGTCATGAGTCACGAGCACTTTCAGACATCAGGACAGCATCCGCTGCTACGTGAGACCGCTTCCACTCCTGCGATTCTAAACCAGGAGCAGCTGCCTCCGCCAAGGCAGCCAGCAACAGCGCTGAGCGTGGGCTGCCTTCGAAATCTGGCTTCCAGAAGGAGCTGTGAGAAGGCTTGGGGTTTAGGGTTTGGGGCTTGGGAGGTCATGTGGGGTGGAGAGTTTAAGTGTTCTGGGTTTCGGGTCGACAACGGAGGAGCCAGCGTTCCAGGCTCGCGGCCCAAGCTATGGACTCTATGGGGTGAGTGGAGACGGACGACCCTCTGAAGTGATTCGGGTGGTTTTCAACTTCCTAAAAGGAGGCAAATCAAACAAGGGGCCGAAAGAACGTCCGCAAAACCCGAACAGCCATGGTCAATACCAATGAAAGTCAGCCTCTCAATAAACACGGGCTGCGACAAGGTAAAGGCTTTAGAAAATCCCTATTAAATCTATGTGAAATCCGTTCAAGACTCTTGATTCTAAACCAATACTGAATTTTGGTCCCAGCACCCTGCAGCTGCGCAAGGTAGCAAGCGAAGGCTGCATCCGGTCGCAGTGCGGGGCACAGCACCTTCCAATCAGTTGAAGTGGGCCAATGTACAGCTCATTCTAACACCTCGCAAGACATCGAACAAGAACATGACCAATCATCAGCACCATAATTCTCTATTGTCTTCCGACATCATGCCATAGGCTGCTGACGGCTGATCTGGGCCGAGATTGGAGCATGCCACATGAAAGCTGAAAGTTGCTCTACTGTGCTAACTGTACTGACTCTCTCGCTACGAGTATGTAGACAATATATGTATATATATATATATATACATATGTAGACGGTTAACCAATACATGCATGTGCATGTGTATGTATGTATCACTTTGCTATACCGCAAGATACCCCACAAGCCCTTAACCCTAAACCTTAACCCTACTCTGAGGCTTTTAAGTTGTCCTCGGGCCAATAGGGTCGGTTCGGGAGCAGGGCTGCGCAAACTTGGAGTCCCAGCCCTCGCATCAAAAATCCACAGCACAAAGGCTGCGGCAAAAACAAGCAAACCGGAACGAGGGTCGCGCGCGATTTGGGAGTTTCTTTTATTACACCTGCCAGGTACCTGTCCACAAGTAATGAGAACCTTGCGGTGGGCCAAAGAGCCCAAACTGTCGCACACACACCCCTCCCTCTCGAGCAAAGAGAAAGATGAGAAGCCCTTGCAAAACCTAGCGGACCACTAAAAATGAAGCGCTTAGCTAGAGATACCCCTATAAAATGCTTATGCTTATATGACCTTCGTGGGTCCCTAAAGGCACCTCCTCGACAGCACGGGGACCGAGCCGGGCCAGGCAGAAAGCCTGACTCAGGCATCAAGGTCGAAAAAGCAAACTCATAAACCCTGAGCACCAAAAGCCCTCAAGCCCTAGACTCCCTAGACTCAAAGCCTCAAACCCTGAGAACTAAACCCCAATCCTAAACCCCTAAACCCCTAAACTCCCAAACCCTAAACCCCTAAACCCCCAAACTCCTAAACCCCTAAACCCTAACTTCCAGCCAGAGCTCTGCCCCCGCCGCCGTGCGAAGCGGAGGGCGCCTTGAAAGCACCGCGCGAAGGAGCCGAAGTGCCTCTGAAAGCCGGGTTGCTTTAGGGTTCAGGGCTTTAGAGTTCAAGGGTTTGGGAGTTTAGGGTTCAGGGTAGGGGGTTTAGGGGGTTTGGGCTGTTTAGGGGTTTGGGGGTTTGCGGGTTTAGGGTTCAGGCGTTTGGGAGTTTAGGGGTTGAGGGGGTTTAGCGGGTTTAGGGGGTTTGAGGGGCTTACCCAGAGCCCTACAGGTTTACCAGCCTCCATGCCCAACTCGGGGAGCCGAATCGCGTTGTTACGCACCATGCTGGCCAGAAAACCTTACAGCTCACATTGCAGTTGTTGTTGTTGATGTTTTTAGAAGTCCTTTTTCCGTCTGCGGACAAGTCTACATCTGAAAGGCCACCCTAGGGCCGGGAGATGGTTGGGTTTCGATGTTAGGGCTGCTTGACGGTAAATGGTGGACAGCTGAAGGCCTTCAGGCTATGGCCCCTTGGATTTAGGGTTTAAGTTTACGGGTTCTCGGCGTAGGGTCTAGGGTTTAAGTTTAGAGGTTTAGGGCGTGCGGCCTTGAGGTTGCAGGACGATTCAGCAACTTGCTTGACTGGGAGCTGTGCAACTCAACAGCCCTCGATCCCCGGCTAATTATGGCTTACTCGGAACAAAAACAAAGACAAATGATTCCCACAATCGTAAGGCACGAATAAGTGAATAAGCACGGCTTTCCGGCAGTCATTATACCTAAAACATGAAAAGACGATCGTGCTGGCACACAAGGATCTTAATCCTTAAACCTTAAAGACTCATATTCCTAAATGCCCTAAATCGTAAACCGCAGACACAATCTCCGACAAGTCGCCCGCGGCTGTGCGGCTGATGCTATCTGCTGCAACCTCCTGCATGCTTTCGCCTCGGGCATAGGGTTTTATTGTTTAGCATTTAGGCTTCAAGGTCTAGGATGTGTGAAAGTGCGGTTACAGCTACCGATGGGATCGAATTCTTTCAAGCAGAGATGGCCTTGGCTCTGGCTTTGGAGGTACTAACAAGTGCCGAGGTCCTAACTCACTGCTGAACTTCCTGGTGCTCTGAAAGCCAGCTGCTCTATTCCCATCCTGTCGGCCTTACCAGTACTTGGCCACACACACACACACACACCATGCCCACAGACCCCATATCCCGAAGCCTCCAACTCTATAGTCGACATACCCATGCAGTACACAGGCTTACGGTGCAGCGTTTCTGGCTGCAGCACGCATGTCAGAACAGAAATGACGGCACAGGGACCATGCGGCCCGAAGGCAACGATCGCAAGCACCGAAGCTACTTTAGCGAAGATAACGGGCAGCATACAAGTATCGAGAAGAAGATGAAGTATATCAGCCAAAGTCCCAACAGTGAACCCCAATATCCCGAAGCCTGTACTTGAAACACAATACGTTCAAACCCAGAAGCTTAAATGCTCCAAAACATGAATCCCCGACCCGAGAAGCCTTAAGCCTTAAGCCTTAAACCAAGAACCCTGCACACCCTAAACCCTACACCCTAAACCCTAAAACACTAAACCCTAAAGAATCCTCAAAGCCCGAGACTCCGAGCCTTAAACACATAACTCCAGAAAGCTCAACAACTATGCAGCCATACTAAGCCAAAGCCTAAACGCACCCCGATGCCACAAAACCTGGGCACTTAAGCCCCCAAAACGCCTTCAACAAAAGCCCCTGAGCCCCAAAGCCCAAAAATCTGCACCCTAAACCCAAAACTTGAAACCAAAACCCTAACCCCTAAACCCTAACCCAGAACCTGAAACCTAAACCCTAAACCTCAAAAGCCCCCAAAACCCCAAAGTCCCAAAAACGCTCCGAGCCGAGCCAGGCCTTGCTCCAGCTCCGCACCATCGCTGGGCTCACTGCGGCTCTTGAGGCAAAGGACCAGGGCAGGAACCAGGCAGAGGTGGAGATACCTGGGTGTATAGGGTTTAGGTGTTTAGGTGTTCAGGGTTTAGAGTGTTTAGGGCTGCAGCAATTTTCTAGCAGGCTTTCTTGGAAGGTGTGTCTCGATTTGTAAATGCGTAAGTAAGGGTCGGGAGGGCTTCAGTATGGGCGGGGGCCGTACTGCAACAGTTAGAATAGCTCGATACCCGTGAACCCTTTGGTGCCCCCACACACCCCTATGAAGGGGGAGGGTGTCTTAAGGGGTCCTCTGGGCTTCGATACTTGCGCAGAACTTTTCAGCTCTCAGGGGTCATGTTACAGCAATAACCCAGACATGGACTCCAAAGCAACACACACGAGAAGGCTGCGAGAAGTGCATCCGAGACTCCCAGTCGAGTTGACATGGGGGGAGACCGTGATTGCCCTCGGCACGCAAGGGGTTTAGAGTTTGGGTGTTTAGGGGTTTGCGGGTCAGGGGTTTAAGGTTTAGGGTTACCAAAGGCTTGAAAGCGCCCTTCAAACCCTCTAACCAGGGTCGAAGTTCTGAGTGAGTGAGTTGTGGCTTCTCGGGCTTTCGGAGACAGGGTTGGATCTTCCTCCAATGGCCCCGGAATCCGAAACTTGCTTTCATGTCATCAATTGGGGCACATTGCAGCGGGAAGTCTTCACTTGCGGATCAGGGTTCCCGGTTGAGACGCTTTGGGACGAACGCCAATGGCAAAACAGTCCAAGGCACTCCAGAATCCGCAGGAGCAGGAGGAGCTCAGAAGGGGTTGCTGCAGCGGCCACTCGCTGTGGCCTGAAGTGCAGGGCCTTTAAGGGTTATGGGCTAGAGCCTTGCGGGTTTTGGGAGTCAGCTGTGTCATTTGGGGTTTGGGATGACGAGTTCACGCTTCGCATGGCAATGTTATAGTTTCGTGCTTCTGGTCTATGCAAAACGAGCCTGAAGGAGCGTGGGCAGTTCTAGGTGGAGGTTGTGGGCTGAAAAGAAGCCCGAAACCTGCGTAAAGCTTGTAAAGCTCTGCTCAACACCATAAAACACCTCGCACAAATCCACAAACTCCTGTAACCCTTGGGCCGAAGGTGCACGTGGTGCGCCAGGAATTCCGCCAGATGTGGTGCCAGGGGAGCGAAGGAATCCGAGGCGACATCTGCTAGCGTAGCCGCATGTTGCGGCCTCCTGGGTTATGTTTGGGGGTTTAGGGTTTAGGGTTTAGGGAGTTTCAAACTCATCCGACCAGACACATCATTTAGCTTCTGTGCAGACCTGCTGATCCCCAACTAGCCCACCCACAAAGCGAAGAGTAACTGCTTCCCCCACAGTCCATGATACAAACATGACTGGAAAATGTCTCAAGACCCTGTTCAAACTGCTGGAGCCGTAGGACCACTTGCAGGATCATGGGACTTAGCAAGTAAGGTTTTAAGTACCTTATTCGGGGTTATAAGTATAGTTACCCTAATTATAACCCTAGTTACTATGTCCCATGATCCTTTAAGCAAGACACCAGATTCTGGAAAAAGACCCCGAACTTCCGCGAAGCTGCGTCGCCATGCCGCCCTCTAGGACTTGCACCGTCCGCAGCAGGCGTTGCCGCATCTCCTGAACCGTGACCCTCTCTAGAACCACAGCTTCTAGGGTTTAGGGAAGTTACGGGTCTACTGCTGTATCAAAACTCCATGACAAGAACACCAAGAGGTGCATTCTGGTGGGTGCAAAATGCCCCTGTATCCATCCAGAGAGCAACATCCACAAATGCTAAATCACCGGATGTGGCCTCGCAGTGGAACGCAGAGATTGTGCTCTAATCGACATGCTCCACCGCACAGGCTGGCTTGGAGGTATCTAGCATAGGTGGACTTTGCTACTCATCGCAGTAATTTGCAAGACAAAGGTTTTGTCGTTAGGGCCTGGGTTTTGGGTTTGGTGTCTGGGCTTGGGCCTGAAGGGCTTCGATGAAACCCCATGAAACGCTTCCCTCTCCCACTGGCCGTCGTCATCTCCCGTGCACTCGGGCGTGGCGAACCCGGCTCCGGCAAAGTCCAGGGCCTGCCACAGGATACATTGAGGTTGTTCTACAATTTTACTGCAGGATTTAGGATATAGGGCGTCGGACAAGGGTGCTTGTAGGGCCTTACAGGGGTTTCTTCATGGGCCTTATGTTGTAAGGGTTTATCAGGCTTTAGAAAGTGCTCTGAAGGTCCTGGTAAACGGACTTTCAGGAATACTCTTCCTGTCTGTGGATCCTTACCAAAAAGCGGAACCTTCCTTCTGCCGCTGCTGTGGTGGAGAAGTTTCGGGTAAAGGGTTGAGGGTTTCTACATTCTCCTTGATGTGGCTTGTAAGGTTCAGGAGGTGTGTTTGTCGTATCGCTCCTCTTGAGGAAATCAGACTGAGTCGCTGCATTCTTTTCTTCTGATTCTGCTTAATGTCATCATTACAGTTCCTGTGCTCTTTGACATCTGCTAGAATAAGAAATAGCAGCAACTTCGCTAGATTTCGCGCTTGCAGCTGCTAATAGTTGGTTGCTAATGTAGTATAGTAGTATAGTAACGATAGTATATCATCATGGGGAGTATAGTTCCTTGTTTTGCTTCCCTGGCTGTTGGAGACTCCATGCTCAAAAGGCGAAGCTGCGCTTAAAGAGACATGGTCCTTTGCTCAAGAAGAGATATAGGGATCCCTTTGGCTTTGGGTCGCGAGCGCCAGCTGTGAAGACGGCAGAACTAAACCCCAAGCCGCCTTCAGAACGCCCACGCTGACAAATCCGGAAGCTAGTTTGGCGTCGAAGGTACAGAAGACCAGTAAGAGGAACGACTCTAAAGGAATTGGTATTGCAGTGGCTTCCTTGGTAGCCAACAATTTTTTTCGTGCTAGGCTTGTCCTCGTACCGTGTCTGCCTTCGCCATATCATTGCTGGAATCATTCAGCTAGCATTACGTCCAGCATGTCTTCTGAGTCTTCTGCTAGAAGGGATTCGGGTTGAAGAACAGGCGTTGCGTACTCCCCATATCTGTGCACCGAACTCAAGAACTCTGCAATGGAAATTGCCAGGGCCCACGCAAATCCTCTTCCAGTCGAGGAACCTGCATCAAGGAAACCTGAATTCTAGCGTACTCCTGTACAAGAGCCCGGATACAGATTCTTTCCCTTAAACCAGGAGCCTGTGCAGCTTATGCAAGCGTGTACATACTTTAGATATAACATACCGTGCCTCAACAGCCTGCTATAGCACGCACACACACACACACACACACACACTCTCTCTCCTGTATCAAACGAGATTCCTGCACCCTCGAGACTCATGCACCAAACAAAGTTCGCTTGCTTTTTCCAGGGGCTTACGATGTTGGGATGAAGTCACAGACTTGTCAACATCCGGGTGCCTTGAACTCTCCCGTTTCCATCAACGCCACCGTACTGAGGCATGGCGATGGCTTCTCCTCTCTCCTGGGGCTATTAGGATGTCGAGTTTGGGGTTAGGGCTCGGGTTCTATCAACAGAAGGGTCCAGGGTGTTGAGGTGCTGAGTTTAAGATTGACGATGACAAGGCTGCGCCGAAGAATCGCGCTTTCAAGCAACCCTGAGCCCTGGAACCCGAAACCTCGGAGGTAATGACTGGAGGTTTGGGATCTTACGCTGCTAAGGTTGGAGCAGTAGGAGGCAAATGGATCTCCGATACCTTGGCTAGGCATTCTGAAATTGATTCCTACGAAGGATAGCCTTCTTGAAGCTCAGTTCCGTCCCAACTTAACAGACGCCTATGCAGGATGCATAGTGCATTACTACTGTTAATACTATCAAAAAGCAGCCTCAATGTTAATGATTAGTGCTTGAGGCTTCTGGGTAGGCGAGGTCGGGTTTAGTAAGGCTTGGAAGTTCAATGTCGAAGGAATGCTCCCTCTGGGTATCCTAGACCCAGTCGGAGTCATCTACCCAGCACCAGTCGGCACCGACCGACTTCTCGACACGTTGAGTCCAACCCTAAAATTCTGAGATCCGAAACCAAGTCGCCGCTTGATTTGGTGGGAGGACTTCTGCAGCTCTGCAGAAATGGACACGAGCCTGTCGTGCCCGGGTGCGCCTCACATGGTTGAACGATTTTCGGCTTTTGAGCTTGGGATTTGGGATTTAGGCTTTAGATTGGATGTGACCAAACCCGAACTACAAATACGATCAAAGAGTCAGTCATACTTGTATACAAGACTCTGAGGCTTCAAGGCTTAAGCCTAAAATGATAAAACAAAATCAACCCTGGCCCTAGAGCCTTCGGGCCCCCAACATGTCAGGCCGCCTCGAGCTGTTGCGGCTGCAGAGGCCAAGGCAAAGATGGGTGCCAGGCGCCTCTGCACGGTGCTTGTGCAGGGGGACTTGGCTCTGAGCATTGTCCTGAAGTGGTGGCGGTGGTGGTGGTGGTGGTGGTGGTGGTGGTGGTGGTGGTGGTGGTGGTGGTGGTGGTGGTGGTGGTGGGGGCGGCGGCGGCGGCGGTGGTGGTGGTTGCGCACGAGTGTCCCCAGCTTCAGTTCCCATCAAGTGGTGACGCTGCGGATGACATCCGTTTTCGTCCCGTTTCGCGCATCCACGTAAGTCTGCAACCGAAACCCGCAAGTGCTGACTGAAGCACATCGGCCCTCCCGGGAAGATGCCATTGATAAGAATGACGTCTTCCACATCGCTCCTGTGTGCTGTGTACTGTTCGCGTTTCGGGTTCAATGCTTAGTGCTTAGAGTGTGGGCATCAGCGACTTGAACGGGCTTCCCGCAGTGAACCCTACGTGAAAGCCCCTAGTTCGACTGCGACGCGATTGTCCGTAAGAAGCCTGGCCAGACAAAGAGAGTACACACCTCTAACTTGCTCAGGCTGGATCCATATGGGCCTGAATACTAAGCCCTGAACCCTAAACCTAGACCTCAATGCATCACAACAGTGTTTCTTCATGAAGATCTGATCATGATCCGAATCCAAACATCCTTAGAGCTTACGTTCAACCCACCTCTCCGTTGTGAAATGACATCCCCAGCACGACTACCCATACTCTCGTCTTCGAAAGACTTTTTGAGCCGCAGGCACGTACCGATACAGAGAAAGAGAACATCCATAGGTGCGTAAGAATATACGTATATGCGCGCATACACAGCTTCATCTCCATAGAAACACACAGACACACACATACACTGACACGTACACATACAAATACACATGCACATACATATACGTAATACATATACATATACTTGCACACATGTCCATACGTTTTTGCATATGCATGTATGTATGTATGTATGCATGTATGTAGGTATGCCTGGATGCGCACGTGAATGTGGGTAGACGCATATGTACGCTTGCACATGTACACTTGGACACAAGCATGTGTATGTGTAAACGAGTATACGAATGCATATGCACATACAAATGCATGAGCATATATGGAAACATATCCACAACTGTACATATACCGTATACTGCTGTGTTGCTACACATCTTGTTGCAGTGCTATCTTGCGTACCTGCTATGTAGCCTGTTTACCTGCTGTCACCATCATGACCATCATCACAACAACAATATCATCGTCTTCAGCATCATTGCTACGACTGCTGTTGCTGGCATTGCTGTTGTAGCAGTTTCTGGATTTGCCGTTGCTGCTTTTGTTACTGTTGCTGTTGTTGCTCTTGCTGATGCTGCTGTTGTTGCTCACTTGTTGGTGGTCGCGGTTGTGGTGTTGCTGCCGTCGTGGTTTTGGTTGTTGTTGCTGCTGGTGGTATGCTCTGGCACCAAAGGCCGAAGAGCACAAGCCTAAGCCTCATTTCGACTTAGCCAAAGTCGTCCTCTCCAGTCGCCGTCGCCGTGCGTGGAGGCAGAGACGCCACGCCAAGCGCAAGACTCTCCGGAGGCGGAGCCTGGGGCTTTTGAGGATCAGGGATGTGTGTATACATATATATTGTATATACCTACATATATACACACGCATATGTATGTATACATATACATGTACGTGCATGCACATATATATATATATGTATGTATGTACAGATGTACCGTAATATGGATACATGAATAGATTAAAATACGATGCACAATTGTGAACATACACACATGTTCACACATGTATAGATGTATCTAGTATATATGTCTATACATGTATTATCTATGTATACAGACATAACATATATATATATATATATATACATAGATGTACTTATACACATACGTGTACATATACATATATAAATACATACACATACACAATCATACACATATACGTATACATGTACATGTACATATGCATTTGCACATACATATACTGTACATATACATATACAAATACATACACATATACATACACCTAAACATGGTTATGTCCACATATGCATGTGCATATGTACACATGTACGTACAATTAGATATATTCATATTTAGTTATGACTTTCAAGTTGAAGTGCAAGTTTAGGGCGCTAGAGTTTTCATGCGGGAGCTGGTGCGTTTGGCAGAAGGACCACCTAGGTGCGTCCCAACTGCACCCTGTGATTTGTTTTCACCCATTCTGCGCGACGTCTTTATTGCATTCATGATTTCATGTCGTGTAGCAGCATTACGGGTATCAAAGGCTAGCAAACACTGCCCCAAGCTCCGAAAGCAAAGCCAGAGCTGCCGCAGGGTTGTAAGTCGAGTAGCTCGACATGAAGGGCCAGCTCCTTCTTCAATCTCAAGAGCAGTTTACGTAGAGTTTAAGGCTGAGGCTGCTTCGAGGTAAACGGTTAAGGAATCTATATACAAATATAAGTATAGATGTGTATCGGAACCAGTCGCGTTGACGGTTCAGAGCTCCAGGCTTGTTCCTGAAAGCTGCCACGGAACCCCTTGGTCCTCTTTTGCCCGTGGAAACATCCTACTTATTTCCGGGCTGGGCTGTTGAGTTTCAGGTCTCCCCTGCGGCCTCAAACACCCCGAAATGCCGAAACTGCTTGGAAAGCGAAGCCTGCCCAGAAAGGCTGGAAGGCGAAGCCCCATAATTCTAAACCCTAAGCCCCAAAAACCCTTCACCCTAAGCTTTGAAACCCAAACTTCGAGACTTTCGGGGCTTTTGGGCTTCGGGGCCTTAACCCGGGTCATGTCAGGCCTCGTAGGCGGACTCCGCCACATTGAACTTGCGATCCCCTGTGCGAAAGTGACTGCTATAGGCCCCATAATGATTAGAATAGGGTTTTGGGGGCCCAGTATACCATAACTTTAAAAAGGAACCCCCAAAATACTGTGGGTAATTATTCAGGCACCTATATTAGTTCAAGGCGTACCATTCGCTTCTCCATTCAAGCTTGGGCTCAAACTCTTTACATTTCAGAGCTTTGCCATCATCGCGTTTAACGGAACCTCAAAGAACCGCACAACTTAAACTTGAGACCCTGCACCCTGAAGTTCGAAAAAGCTATGCAACGCCCAAAGGACCAGCCTCCCGACTGACACAAAGCCCAGCGCACGAACGACTCGTCCATGGCCATGATTGGAGATGCCGGGATGTCGGGCGTTCAGCCCATGAGTGGTTTAGAGCTTACGCTCTACACCCTTTCAGGGTTTAGGCTTTTGACATCTGGGGCTTAGCGCTTGGGATTTATGATGTGGGGTTTGGGCTTGGTCGGTGTTGCGGTTTAGTTTTAGGGGTACCGAGGTTGACCTCAGAGGGTTCAGGGTTGCAAGGCAAAGGGCTTACAGCCCTAAGCCTTGGGATTCTGAAGGTGGTCTGACATATGGGCCTTAACTATCAGAACAGGGGCTGCGGGGTGTGACTAGTTCGAGGAATCCTGAGAAGCAGCATTCGTAAATATTCAAGCGTCTACATCAGCGCAAGATCCTGGAGGCTCCCAAATTCTTAGGTCTTCTGTCAAGTCTGGCCTTAATCTCAGAAGAAGGGCGTGGGGTATGGTATGATATGCCCTAAATGGCTCCCAGGCTCTTAGGTTTTCAAGCTTGAAGCTACATGTTTTCGGACCTGGTGCTTGGCAGGTCTTACCGCGCACGGCTCAAAGCTTGAGAAGAATTGGGCCAACCCATGGCCCTGAACCCAAACTTCTAAACCCCAAACCCCGGAACCCTGAATCTCTAAGCAAACGCCATTGAACCCCTGAAACCGACTGCCCGAACGCCCCTAAATCCTAAACCACTGAATCAGCAGTACCATAGAAACGAGCTCCTGAAGCCAACGAATATGAGCCTTGCTACCCTAAACTCTTAACCCATACGAAGGCCAACTCTTGAGCGCCCAAGGTCACACAGGCAGATCTAGCTGCAGAGCTTCCCAGATGGAAAGGGTGTAGATGTAAGCGCAGCTACCACTCATACTTCCCTATGAATCTTCTGTTGCATTTGCTTGTATCTTGGGCTAACATGTCGTTTGCCCTGGTAAGCGTGCAACTGTTTAATGCAGCTGCTCCTACCGCCCACCCAAGGCCCAAAATGCTGAATCACTGCCGCTGTTGGTAGTCGTGTTATCATTGTTGCCAGTATCTAGTTCATGAAATCTGCGCGCTCCTGCTGGTAACCGTTTGGGTAGATTCCGGGTAGATCTCTAAAGAAGGGTCCCTGTTAGCTGTTAGAGTCCTGTCTATAAGGGTGCCACATTATTTTGGGGACCCCCAAACGGGCCCGAAATCAGAGAACTATCCCCTTCGATCATCGAATGCTTCCGAACATGTTGACAATGCTGCTGGAAGAGGCTCCAAGATTTTCTTTCCTCAGGCGCAGTGAAGAACCTCTAAATGATGCCCTTAAGGGAACCCCAAAAGCTACCCTCCCCCTTATAGGCAGTGTAAGCAGCTCCGACCAGCTTTGAGCACAGCCTTTCTCGTGCCGCTCACAGGAGTCCACGCCGTGACCGGTACCGCGGATGTTTGACCTACGCATACCTGTGCTGTTCTGCAGTGCCAGCCCTGTGGCCGCTCAGCGAACCCTCCCGACTGGGGCTTTTGTGATTGCCGATGTCAACGAGGCTTCTTTGCCGGATTGCAGGTTTAGAGTCTGAGGTTTAGGGCCTGGCTTTCTTTCGACGCATGGGAGGACGGCCGACACTGCATCCCAGCGAAAGGACTGCTGAAGGCATGAAGCGAATCACAGAGGTGCCAGCACCTGGCTGCGTCTTGTCGAGCAAAGTTTTTTGAGGTGTGGATTCGGGCTTCAAAGTTCAGAGAGAGTGACGGTTGTATCCCACCCAGTCTGATTACCAGCACTACGTGCAGCTACTGAAATACCGCTCCGATGCACGAACTGCATTTCTTGACTGCACTTCGTGAGTTCACTAACACCAGAGAACAGCCGTGATATAATACCATTCAGAACGCCCTGAAGCCCGATATCTCCGACTCGGAACAAATCTCTCCGACAGGACAGCAGTAAAGCCCGAACCCCCCTTCTTCCACAAACGCTGTGGGATGTCCCTAAACATGATTGCACGAGCACGTTATAAGGGGATGCAGCTATCACAACAGATCCTTACATTAACATGGAGGCTGAACCCTGAGCTATCGCAATGCGGGTCTCACGGAACCGTATGTTTGTCCTTTTCCAATCAGACCAGCTGTCCCTGTGGCAAGTGCCACATGTAGGTGAGTCTCTGGAAAGACGTGCTGTGGGGTCCGCCTCGTGAACCGTGGCCGGTGCCCGGCGGACCAAATTGATTACAAAGGAATGAATGAAGCAGAGTTGCCCGAATGCCTGAATCAGGTTTGAGATGCCAAATACCCCAAACCTAAATCCCCTAAACCCTAAACCCTACACCCTAATACCTACTGGTACTCCAGATCGGCACCTCCGGAAGCAACTCGCAGGCGCGGAGTGCCTCCACCCTTAGCCGCCTTCACCCAACTCCGGCAAACGCCCGGAAAGCCCCAACCTGGGTTCTTGCTAAGGAGCTTAATCTAAGTTGCCATGATACGGAAACCATCTTATTTACTAATTATAGATCCCTATTATGGTATGCCATAATACGGAAACCATCTCACTTACTACAGATCCCTATTATGGTAACTTAAACTAACTATAGATCCCCTATTATAGTAGCTTAAACTACCTTCCCAAAAAGCGAGCCCAGCTCCGAGAGCGAAGAGCCTCAAGGGGCGGAGGCCGAAGGAGCCGGAACCTGCGAAGATCCGACAAAGGCACGGAGGTGATAAGGAAAAATTAGGGTCCCTTTTTGGGTCCATTAATATAATACGGCACCTAATATTTAGGGTACCCAAAAAGGGACCATAATTTTGACAACTACCCATATGAGGATCTTAAAAGGCCGTATACATCCATAAGTATAAGTGTTAGCGTTCTTGACGGGGGTGGAACGGTAATAGTATCGGGGTGGAATAGTGTCGGGCCCTGCATGGTCGGAATGGTGTTTGGAGGTTTTTGCAAAGTGCAGGAATACTATAGTAGAAGCCAGAAAGTAGGAACATGGCTTTAGGAGGATTGGTGCTAGGATCCCTTAAACTTTACCTTAAGGGCATGAGGATAATGATGTTCCAACTTTCCGTCTTCTACTATAAGTAACACCATCGCCGAGATTGGATCTGCTCGAGTTGTCGGATGTGCAGGTTTCCGTTTTCGGCATCGTCTTGTGCGTCTTGGTGGCTTTGGGCTACTTAAAGGATCATGGGACTTAGTAGCTAGGGTTATAATTAGGGTAACTATACTTACAACCCCAATTAAGGTACTTATAAATTACTAGGTCCCATGATCCTCCAAGTAGAATGAGGCCACGGGTGCCTGGGTATTTCTGGAAAAGCCACAGTTGGGGAGCCTGGAGGCTCTCAGGGTCTTTTTCTAGATTTAAGATAGGGCCCTATTGTGGGGTGTTCCTTATTATAACTATGGTATAATGGCCCCCAAAACCATAGTCTAATTATCAAGGCCGCTTTATCAGGTGAAGAGTTGTGAAGGTGTTGCATTGCAACACCTGGGGTTGTTTGGGGGCATGCGCTTCAGAATGCTTGGCTCCGTTCTGCGTGCGGCATGCTTTGTGGCGGCTGAAGGTGACAATACAGGCGACCTCCCGCAAAAGCGGTGTTTTTCAAAGTTCTCATTCTGCGGCACAGTGTGCCTAGGCCCATATCAGCGCGCAGGAAGCCCATGTAGCATTTGCGAAGTTCGGCAACTCAGGCTTCAGAATGCCTGCATCTCCAACGCGAGTACGGGGAACCCCTGCTATGGCCTACGTACCAGCCGCCTGATCCTCACTACTTGGCAGACGCAAGTCACATTGCCCCGTGGCCAGTCTATCAGCCCTGACGCTCGAAACGACAAAAGGCACCTACTGTGAGAAAAGTCGCATCAAAAGCAGCAAATCACCACGTAGACTTTGAGTATGAGATAAAGTGGCCGCAGAAGCAAAACTGCCCGATTCTGTAGATCTTCTAAAACATCTCGTAACCCCGCACACAGACACGAAATCCCTTCCCATGAGACACCCCTACTAAGGACCCTATCTATGGCGATGGATTCTGTGAGCCAGGGTAATTAGTAGAAGATGCCGGAAAGGTTTTCACCAGGATGAGCTTCAACTGTGTCTAGTTTTGGACTTGGGGCTTGCGGTTTAGGGCTTTCAGGTTTGCAGGGGTGATGGTTTTAAAGTTTAGGGTAAGGCCTGTAGACTGTCCTGACAACCTGTACTCCTCAACCCACACCTGCCAAAGCCAGACAAGAAAAGATGCGAGCCTTGTAGACTTTAAAGAAGTTGTTCTCCGCGGAGACAAGTTGAGACTGGTCCGTGGAAATAGAGACGCTCCTAGAGCATAGGGGCCCTTAGCGGGGTAAGGGGGAGGTTCCTTAATTCGGCCTTATATTCGGTCTTTATTATGGGCATTAAGGTCCCCTTCACCCCCCACTCTACCCCCCTAAGGCTCCTTATGACTAGAGGACGGCATGGGGCTTAGGTCCCACATGCTATGGAGGCGCAGGAAACCTCGAAACCCTCGCCTCCAGAACCCTGAGCCCGGAACCTACTTAGAGCACTCTACTCTCGCCCGGGAGGGGCCGGAGGCCTTTAGCAGGAAAAGTCAACAGGGCCGGATTGCGTGTCGGTATACGTGTCATAGCCTATGCGACCCACCAATTCTGAAGGCATTTTGCCCTGTAGCTAAGCATTGTGGTAGTTGTTCCAAATTTTCGTGCTACCTGCCGCATAGTCATGATGTCGATATCTTGACCCTTAATCACGAGCATCCGCCCCGTTCTCAACACCCCGTCAGTGAATTCAGAAACCCCGGACCCGGATTCAGAACAACCGTAGAGAAAGGATCCGTACACGAAGGAAGGATCCTTAAACGCCATGGTGCTTTTTTTAGATGCTTCTACGTTATAGACCGTCTGTTGTATCTATCGCACGGCGCGCGAGCAGCATATGCAGCTGTCAGACATTGGATTTTCTGACTGCCCACTTGGGGGTGGGGACGAGGGATTCTCGCTGCACAACCCTGTTCTGCACACCATCTGTAGACATCCAAACAATTCCGTAGGCTTT